CCAGGTAACTAGATTATAGCAGATCAGAAAATCTTTTCTTTAGGTTTCATATGTCATCTTGTGTGTGTGTGTGTGTGCATGTGAGTGCATATATGGACACACATGTATGTGTTATATGTGTATGCAGATGTGTGTGCACGTGAGCATGTAGGCCAGAGGTCAACATCAGATTTCTTCCTTAATTTCTCTCCACTGAACCTGGAGCTCACTGGTTGGCTAGACCCACTGACCAGCAAACCCCCGTGCTCAGTTTTTTACACAGATACTAGGAATGCAAATTCAAGCCCTCATGCTTTTGTGGCAAGCACTTTATCGACCGAGTGTCATCCCCTCAGCCCCAGATGTTATCTTTTAACATTCTTAACTTTAGAGTTGGTGGATGCTAAACATCTGCTAAGTAACACGTTCCAAAAGTTTTACTAATAGTCATAAAGATATTTGGTCAGATACATAGGTTGGTAGTAATTGGTTATTAAGAAAACTAAAAATAGCCCAAGATAATTTTGTGTCTTAATCTGTGACATTCCATCTCTCTCAATTATAACATTCTGATGAATCAGTTTGTAGAATCTTCAACACAGATGTGTCTTCCTCAGAGAACATCAGTTCACAGCTTGAACTTAGGGGAAGGTGAGAGAAAGAGAAACGGTGAGTGGCAGAGAGGTAGTGGTCACAGGTGAGAGTTTTGAGTTTTGATCATAATGCCAGGCACATAGTTGCTTAATATTTATCATTGAAGGTACAAATATTTTATAATTGAAGCTGAATTTTGTGCATTCCATTGCTGCCTGCAGTCAATCAAATACATGAAGAAAGTTACTGTCACTTGAATTTGGCTACTAACTTTTGGAGTTGAGGTTCTCAAAGGACATAGGCAAGAATCCCACTTGTAGGCTAATTATAACAGTATAAAACAGTTCACTTTCCCTGGTTATCCCTTTCCTCAATAATCCTAGTCCAAATATCACAAAATGGACATCGATCTGCGAATCACTTTAGCTGGAACAGGAGAACATGGACAGTTTATAGGACTCCCCTAAAGAATGCTAGCTTCTATGTCTTCTATGTGGGCACATGTGTGGAGGCTAGAGGAGAACTTCGGGCATCTTCCTCTGTTGCTCTCTCCACCTTATTTTGTGAGACAGAATCTCTCACTGAACCTGAAGCTGGCTAATTCAGTTACAATGGCTAGCTAGTTCTCAAGATCATCCTGTCTATTCTGCCACACCACTGGGATTTACAGACATGTGCCACTGTGCCTGGGTTTTTTACGTGGGTGCTGGGGATCTGAACTCGGGTCCTCATTCTTGTGTGGCAAGCACTTTATTTACTGAGCCATTTCCCCAGCCCTGGAACTAGATACTGGTGAACACTGCTGGTGGGATTGTAAAAGAATGTAACTTGTGTGAAGCATGCAGCAGTATCCACCAGTATTGATATATTTTCTTTATGTTCCAATAATGCTACTTCTTAGAATCTATTATAATGATGCACTCACAATTTCATAATTATTATTCTGAATTATTCTGAATAGTTATTAGTCATAAATACTATTATGAAAAATACTGAAAACAATCTAACTATCCATAAAAAGCATTAAGTAGACCATAGGAGATTCTCCCAATGATTTAGAAAAGAAATTTTCTATATTATTGCATATGCTTATAAGGAAAGATCTTCAAGAAATATTGAAAAAAAAAACCAAAAAACAAGGTACAGTCAAGATGTGATTGTGTACATCTGGAATACCAGCATTCCTGAGGCTCAGGTAGGAGGATGGCAAGTTAAAGACCAACCTGGACTACTCTAGAATGAATTCTGGGCCAGCCTGGACAACTTAGTGAGACGCTCTCTTTCTCCAACCCCCTCTCTCTACATATATTACATACAAATAAGTGGAAAATGTGTATTTGTATTTATTTGTACTCGCATGGAGAAGCACAAATTAATAACAAGGAGCCATGCAGATGATTGCCTACAAGGCAGAGAGTAACAGAGCACAGAACCTGGGATAGATTCAAGATTTGTCTGTGTATATATACCTTCTTATCTAAATGATATATAATGGCATTGCTTCAGAAAAAGTTAAAAACCAAATGGTCACTGGAATTTGTTCAGTATAGTGACTTTCTTTAGATCGATGTCTATAGACTTAAGGTAGGTTTCCTGGTGTATCTAGGTCCACCATTGACGTGACAGCTACCTTTAGCAAGATGAGCCAGCTGGTGAAGGCAGCCTACACTCTGGCTACTTGGTTATTTGTATCTGCTTTCAAGGCCCAGTAAAAGCCTAGAGAAGTACAAAGTGCTTGATTTATTTTTAGTGAAAAGTAAGGCCACCAGATAGATCTCCAACTGAAAACCAGGCAAAGCTGGGGTTTAGTTCACTGAGACCATGGCTTATGCCAGCTTTTCTTTTCCCATGGCTGACTCCCAGCCTTGGCAGAAAGTGCTACAAGCCTTCCCCATAAGGGTAACCTGGGACACGACACAAGGAGAGAAAGGCCTTCCAGGAATTAAGTGAGAAACAAAATAAGCCTCACCCACTTCCAAACCAGGTCTATATTGTCACTCTGTGAGACAAATACACAAATCACAGTACCTGAGTGCCAAGAAGTCAAGAAAGAAAACCTCAGCCCTCCTACAGTTTATATTTAATCCAGATGTCTAGAGAACAGCAGAATAATGTTAAAAATTTGCAAAGATGGCACCAGATGTTTATAATATGAATATACCAAGACTGAAGTAAAAGATGTAATGACTTTTCCAAACTCCTCTGGACTAAGGAAAGGGAACATTTTGTGAGCAGTGCATTTGACACTGAGAACACCTGGCCAAGGATGACTTTCATCATCTGCCACCAGCAGCCTATGCTGTACTGAATGCCTACTTCCTCTCTAGACATCTGGCATATAATTAAGCCTGCTGGCTCAGGCTACTGTGAAACTCAAAGAAAAAAAAATGCTTGAATCTCAGTTAACCACTAAATACACCCTCGTGTTATTGTTTCTCGGGCTTCCATTTTATCCCCAGAAGTACTAATACAATCTGACCTGAAAGAGCAGTTGCCAAGGGTTCAGGAGTCAACATTGTATAATTAGCAGGAAACTACAGCAATTGTTTTGCCATTACAGGTATTCCAGTGGCAACTGTGACAGCTGATTTGAACTCCAGACCACTGCCAGATCAGTGGTGATGAGGATGGCCACAAGGACAGTGCCTGTTATCAACAGCGTTCTATGATTTTATTTCCTCTTCACCTCAGTCTGCAAAGTAGCTTTGAGTTTTTCACAGTTTAAGAGATTAATTTGCCCAAAGTCACATAACTTGGGATTTAGACCTGCTTACCTCCAGAACTACTTCTTTTGTGTCTTTTACTTATATAGTTATTGTTGTTTTTAAATAGGATTTCATTGATGAAGCTCTCTGACCTGGAACTTACTATGTAGACCAGGCTGGCCTTGAGCTCACAAAGACCCTCCTGCCTCTGTTCCCTCTGTGTTGGGATTAAAGGACTGTGCCACTTCACTCAGCTGTTGTTGTTTGGATTAAGGATAACCCCTCCCCCTTTTTTACTTCCTCCCAAACATACAGAGCACAGGACTAAAGTTTGCAAATCAATTACTGATCCATAGTAATTTATGATGAGACACTGTAAAGGATGCTATTTGTTTGTTCTTTATAGGCATCTCAAAGGACCCTAAACTAATGAAAGAATGCGTAACTGAAAATTTATAGCTAAATTCTAGAGATCTGCTGTGTCGCATTGTGACTATAGTTAAATATACTATATTTTACATTAAAATTGTTTTGAGACAGTAAATCTTACATTAACTGTTGTTAATACAATTAAAAATATGTAACTTAGAAAAGTATTCCATATTTAAATAAACTGCTATCATGATTAGGACAGATGTGTTCATTAGTACGAAGATCCTGCATCAGAAAAAAATCTATGAGCTTTGTTATATTCTTTTGTTCAAATACTAATTAATAAAGAAATATTTTTGTATCCTTTTAGATATTTTCAGAAGAAATGTGTTTTATGAAAAAATATACAGGATATGTCAATAGTGCTATAT